CGCTTGTATGTTGCTATAAAAGGTACTACAATACTTTGTGAGATTCATGTGAAAGTGTTAATCATAGAATAACATTATGGAGAGAAACACACATAATTATATCTGCTATTACAATGACAGAAGCTTAAATAGAAAGTTCTGGTAATATTTAAAAACATGAGGCATGAAGTGGCCGTTGGCAAAACGTATAGGTTCTTAGTAGCTTATCCACGGTTTTCAATGAGACTAATAGATATTTGGTATATTGAATAACATTCGTCACTTAGTCATGTAGGGTGAAACTGAAATTCTATAAGGTTTATGTTGAAACAAAAGAGTGTATAGAAAATTTGAAATGTGCTATTTAGCAACAGAACAAATGATACTTCTAATAATATGGAAATATTTATAGTAGAGTGACTTCCTAAGGCATATTCACATGTAGGAAATATATCATGCAACGGTAATTTACTGTTCAAGGAATAAGTTGATTATTTATAATTTATTGTAAGTATTTTGCATTTGCTTTGAAGTAGGAAGATATATTTTTCATTCACACCAATTTAGGAAATTACATTTTGGTGTATAACGTGAAAGTTTCACAGTTTTTGATTTTCTATATGTGTAGTAGTTGTCCTATAATGTTTGAAAACTATGACCGTAAATAAATGGAGATTAGAATATAACAAACGCTTGTATGTTGCTATAAAAGGTACTACAATACTTTGTGGGATTCATGTGAAAGTGTTAATCATAGAATAACATTATGGAGAGAAACACACATGATTAGATTTGCTATTACAATGACAGAAGCTTAAATACAAAGTTCTGGTAATATTTCAAAACATGAGGCATGAAATGGCCGTTGGCAAAACTTATAGGTTCTAAGTAGCTTATCCACGGTTTTCAATGAGACTAATATCAATGAGACTAATATATATTTGGTATATTGAATAATATTCGTCACATAGTCATGTAGGGTGAAACAGAAACTCTATAGGTTTATGTTGAAACAAAAGAGTGTATAGAGAATTTGAAGTGTGCTAAATAGCTAGAAAACGAAAGATTTGTATTTTGATACTAGAGTACCTTAACTAGGTACGTTTACTTATGGAAAAACATAGTCTATTGGAAATCTACTGTTGAAGTACGAAAAAGTATGTTGGTTATTTATAATCAGTTGTAACGAATTTTGCTCTTGATTTGAAGTAGTAAACCATGTTTGTCATTCGCAGTAATTTAGGCAATGATATTTTGGTCTACATGGTATGTAACGTAAAGGTTCGACAATGTTTTATTTTCCAAATGTATACTAGCTGTAATATAGTAATGCATAACCATGAACGTAAATAAGTGATAAGTTCTTTATTTAGGAAAGTAGGGTTGAAATAATAGCTTTTTTGGTTTCAAATATTACAGTAAAGCTGTTTCTGACGGCATGAAATGAATGTATAACACGATGTAGAGGCACAAACATAATTAGATTTGTAATTACAGTGACGAAGGTTTAAATAAAAATATCTCTCAATGTTTCACGAGGAACAAGATGACCGCAGGGAAAACATTTAGTATCTTCGTAGCATTAATAGTTTATAGAAATTTACAAAGAACTTATAAACGACCAGCATTGAGATCGCAATAGATATGTGGTATAAGAGTTGAAAACGATGCAAGTAAATGAGTGATGACTGATTTGAAATAAAACAAACGCTTTTCTATTGGTAGAACAAGCACAATACTTTGAATATGATCAATACATGCGAGTGTGTTAACTTTTACCCTCCAATTTAATGCCGAAAAATGATTAGTAGAAAGTTTCATTACTTGTACATACATTACTTATTTTGAATTAAGGTGGTTTCTTTGATCGAAAGATATTGCATAGAAAAGTTTGCTCACTTGAATGAAAGTGGACATTGAAACGGAAACTA